GGAACACCAGACCAACGAGGTTCGAGAGGCTCTTGGGCAAAAGGGGGACGTTCCTGATCTTTTTCTGGAGGACACACAGGACCCGAGGATACACAGATCGTTGTTTGAAATCGGGGCAGAATAATCCCCTGATCTGTGCCACGACTGAAGGGTTGTCTAACCCCTGAGGTTGAAGAAAGAAGAGCAGAGGATCACCCAACTGGACGACACTGGTAGCTGCAGCAATAAAATAAAGGCTAAAAGCTCCTTGGACAGAGGTTCTAGTCTGAGTACGTCTGAAGGGTATAAGGTAGCACCAAATAAAGCTGTGGGAGAACTGGGGAGTGTCATCTGTACCTGCTATTGTTGTAATAATAGTTTTTCTTGCATCTGAACTGCGCAAACACAGAGGTCATCTCACATATGGTTCGCCCATCAGGGGGACAAAGGACCTCAGGAGTGAGAAGAAATGAACCCGGCCACACTGGATTACAGGGTGTTGGTGAGCTCATTATTCTAACGAGCTCATCAGGGGGAGTGTTAAATTATAATATTATTTTATGCCATGTTAGACCCCTAATTAAAGATTGTGAATTATTATGTAGTTTTAGTTTGCATTATTCTCCTGAATTAGAAGAAGCTGATAACTATTGCATTAGTTAAACTGATTTGCATTACATTAGACTGCTGATTTATTGTGGATGAATGATATTGTTTTATGATGTTATAAGAAATACTGTTTGCAGAAAGTCATCGCCTTATTTGTCTGATTAGAAGAGAACAGAGCATGCTGGAGTTTTCTGCCCCATCTCAGCAGGAGCAGATAAACGGGGAGCCAAGGTCGTAGCTTAGGCGCCGTGTGAGAGAAAAGCATGTGAATGTTTAGGCTTTTATGATAAGGTGGGGGCACCAGAGGCTATAAGAGTTTGATTAATGCTCCACCATTTTGAGATCTGAGGCTGTCTGCATACAGTGTCCATCTCCCACGCGTGTGACTATTAAAATCATCGTTTGACTTAACCCGGCCGGACCAGTGTTGTTATTGTGGTTTTTTCTCTTGTCTCCATCCCCAATTTTGAACTCGTAACAGGGCTCACTCAGCAGCCGCGGAGCAGAAGCCAGGGGGGGTTGCAGTGACGTGCCCGGTGAGCTCCGCCGGCAGCCAGCTGTGCCAGAGTGACCGAGCCCCAGGCCGAGAGGCCGAGGGCACCCCACCCCCGAAGTGGCCCGAGCGAGCCCCAGGCTCCAGGCCCCGAAAGCAGCCACCAGGAGTGAGCCGGTGTGTACCTGGACGCCCATCCCGGACACAAAGAACCACCAACGCACCGATGTCTGAGGGAGTCCGCCACTGGCAGGGGAAGTGGTGGTAGGGGGAGATAGGCCTCCAAACCTTGGAGGGCCTGAGATGTCCCCAGAGAGGTGGCGTCTGATACCCAACCTGACATATAGACACAGACATACAGGCACACACAGACACAAACATCCATTCCCACCCTCATGCTCTCATATGCACTTACTCCACACTCAACCAACGTGGAGACAGACATAAAGAGACGCTGTACACACGATCACACTCCCCAAGCGTACTCTACGAACCGGGTCCAGGTACCCTTGCCCCTGGTGGGGGAAACTGCACCCAGACCCTTTTCCCTGAGAAGCAGACCGCCCCGACTCCACAGCAGCAGGGAGGCCCCACATTCCAGACCCCAATCGGACGGCCAACTCCTCCTCCTTGTCCCCCGCTCCAACAGGCCGCAGAGAACGGGGGTGTGTGAAAACTCCAAACCTCCCTCCGCCCGCTCATATGTAGTGTTGATGCATGTGTGTTCTAAGGTGCATTTAAAACCCAGGAGGGCATGGAGCTACCTGCCAGAGAGCAGCAGGTAAGCGCATAGTCCCTCCTGCTAGCCCTCAATATCTACGTGTATTTAAAATTGAGAGGTGGGCAACGACGCCAGGGGTGAGGTGTACGCCCTGATGGTCTTTTGGATACCGTGTAGCGTGCCCACCCCAAGATCCTATATGTATGTGTAATGAGAGTGTAGGGCTTTGTGATATAACCAACATTTCTATCTATCGCCCCGATAATGATATAAATCACAAAAATGTAACATTTTCTGTAAATTCTGTGAATCTCAGGCAGCTCGACTTGCATGAAGTGTTTCCAGCTGCGCGTCATGTAGCTGGAGTCGAGTGTTTTAGCCGATGCATGAAACGATACATTTTTAGACATAAAGTTGTAACAGCCGCCGTTTTCTTTGTGAGTATTTATTACACAGGGTGCTGCGGGGAAAAGCTTGTTCTAACATTTGAGTCTAAGGTTTATTTTAGCGGGGGAGCTACTGAGGTCAGCTCCCCCGCTGACCCCAGTAGGCACCCCCATACTCCGCAACCCACCAGGGAAAGGGGGCCCAGGCCCATCCGGACCGGGGCCCAGTTCAGCAGCGCCGCCTGTCCACACAGAGCCCAGGACAGTCCACCCGACCCCACCAAAGAGAAAACTGCACCCACCCTGTCATCCACTCATCTTCCAGACTACACAAGACAATAGACGCCCAGGCTGAGATCTTCCTCCACCTCTCCTATATCTCCCCCTCCTGCAGAGTGAGTTCCTGAAGAGAGGAGACCTCCTGCAAGATGTAACAGCCTCCCCCACCAGTTGAAGAGCCCCCCTAGGTGGCTCGATGAGCTGGCGGCACCTTGCGCCAGGGCTGTGCCCCCATACACCCACCCGCCCACAACCCCGGCAACACACCAACCAGGACCCAGGCCCAGCCAGGGCCCCAGCCCAGAGACGGAGCACCCCCAGAACCTCACGCCCCTCCCGGCTTTCTGCTCTATGCTTATCTGAGGGCAAATATATGCAGTTCATGAAATTGTTACCATCAACAATTTTATTCAAATATTTTTGTGAGTCAAAGTGCCCAAAGATACTATTTAAAATGAGATCTTCGCTAAGATGTTAGGTGTAGAGACAAGACTAGTTCCTTCTTTAAGTTATGTTTCTGGTTGAATTATTGTTAAGTGGTTTGACAAGAGAAAAAAAAAAAACACATACCAACACAACACACTCCTGTGAAACTAGTCAGGTATAAAGACTGAACTGAACACAAGTGAAAAGCAGCCAATGTCCAAATAAACACGTAAAAGCTCTTTTGACAACTAATGGTCAAAATTACTCTGAAGTAAGTACCCATCCATCGGTAAACTGTACCTGGGCTTGTTGCTGTGACCTGAAGTTACTAAACTTCATGAGTGTATGCACTCACTCCAAGAACCGTATAATTATAAATCTGAGCGTGGTGAAAGTTGGGCAGCACGCTAACATCTTTTGTCCACTCTGTGTGCTTGTAAGGGTCTGACCCTTTCACTGGTTTGATTTTTTCCTCGTATCTTTTCTTTGTCTTTTCGTCGAGTCTGTCTTTGTACAGACCGTCATTCTTCCATTCTTCTCCTTTTGTTTTGTACATTCCTTTGTTGTGCGGCAAATAAAAAACAGGAAGGTATTGGAACCGGAGAATGAACGTTTTGCGGTGCTGCAAATGCTTGCATTTGATGCGGTACTTGGATTGTTTTGCCACGAGTTCCCAGCATGCAATGTGCGAAAATCACGTGATTGCTAAACAAGGGGGAGGGTGCATCCGGCCTCCTCGGCTGTAATTGGTCCAGCCCAGAGTCGATAATGACCAATTGGCCAATCCAACACCTTTCATTATATATACCCTAAAAAAATTTTTTAAAAAAAACCATCGGCCCATAAAAACAAAAAATCGCCAGCGGCCCACCGGGCAAATGCCCGGTATGCCCGATGGCCAGTCCAGCTATGGTCACAGGAGGGTGATGTGGAGTGAAATGAGTGGTGGAAGGGAACTTACGTTTGAACGAGTGGTTAAAGAGTTAAGTCATGGTGAAGGGAAAGTGGTGGTTTTTCGTTTTTTGAGTAAATACTGGTCTCATCAAAAGGATCTGAGGATTCAGGAATGACGGACGATTAACAGCCAGGAGGCGGCAGTAATGCAACAGTTTTGGATGCAAGCTGCCGTTAAACTTGACTGAAGAAGAAGAAGAATCCTATGGAAACGCTTGAACATGTGTTTATTAGTTGCAGGAAGTATGTCAGTCAAATGAGAATGTTGAGGGTAGAAACTGTAGTTTGAAAAGGTGGCTGAGTGGTTAAGTCATGATAAAAGGAAGTGTGTGGTTTATTGTTTCTGTTTTATTTGTTTTGTTTTTTGAGAAATACTGTACTCATCAAGAGGATCTAAGGATTTGGAAGTGATGTAACAGTAAAACCCAGGAGATGGCAGTAGTGCAACATCTTTGGATTCAAGCTGCCATTAAAAATGAAAGAAGATTTGGGCAGGTCAGTTTGAGTTATGTTTTGTTGTGGCTTTTGAGTAGAATTTTGTTAAGTTGATCTCTTTTATGGACCCACTTGGGTCTTAAATAGTTTGTCATTTTAAATATTTGTAATAATGTTGTCCTTTTTGGCTATACTACAACCCATGTGTGAAGATTACACCTGTGTTTTTATGTTCTTGGCTGCCATGAGAGTCTTTTATTCCTTATCAGTTCTTTAGTAAACAATATTATTCCTTCCCACTGTCTTCAAAGTGCTTGCTCACAGGGTGTCATCTGGTTGTTGGGGTTTGTCTATATATTTTAGGGTCCTTGCAAATTAAAGTACCTTGAGGCAACTGTGACTTGGTACTATAAGTAAAACTGTCTTGAATTGAACTGATTATCTCATTCTGTGTGCCTGGTATGGTTTTATAGATTAAACAAGCTTAGCATAAGGCCTGGGAACAGGTAGAAACTGCTTTCTTTTAGACAATGCTTGTGGTGGTCAGAGGGCCCGGTGGCGCCAGTGTCCGGCAGCCTCGCCTCCGTCAGTGCGTCCCAGGGCAGCTGTGGCTACAATGTAGCTTGCCATCACCAGTGTGTGAATGTGTGTGTGAATGGGTGGATGACTGGATGTGTAAAGCGCTTTGGGGTCCTTAGGGACTAAGTAAAGTGCTATACAAATACAGGCCATTTACCAATGCTTCCAGTCCTGCTAAAGTAAACCCAGAAACATGCATAAAACTTCTGAGGTGTAACATACTGTTGAGCAAAAGACCTCCCGTCAGTAGATTTTGGGACTTCTAAACATTTTGCTGCAATCTTTAGAGAAACAGCTAACTGAACTTAGATCAAGATCTGTTTCTACCATGCTTACATTAATGTAGTAACTAGTTTTCCATTAAATGTTCAGCAAGAAAATAATTGCACTTACTCACAAAATAAAATTACTCTATTGTTATGATTTGTCTTCCTGCACACCCAGTTTTTAATGCTAATCAAATCACAATGTATTTAATATACAAACAATCTTGAAATACAAAATTTGTCAACACTGTTTCTTTTTACCAGAACGTCATTTGAGGTTTGTGTTTTACAAGCATGTTGGCTACAAATTCACAGGATGTATAATTAACATATTTAGCTACAGTTCACATGTAATTAAATCGGGTATAGCTACAACAACTTTTGTTTTTATGTCCTTAGCTTTGCTTGATCAGATGTTTCTCATTCACAGGACAGATGACGATGGTGTCAGAGGCTTTGTCACAGCAGTACAGGTAGAAAAATGGAAGAATTTTTTCAGTGAAGGTATCCTCAAAGGTGTAAATATGGGTCCGTGCTCTCACATCATAAAACGACACTTGGCCTTCTTCGTAGTCCACATACACGCCCACTCTCTTGGGCTTAGGGTCGAGGGAGAGCAGTGATGGAGGGGATGTTGACACTCTGTATCCCTGGCCTTTCTTCATGGCCAGAGCCCAATAGCCTTGGGTGGTGCTTACAGAGATCCTGCCCTTTCTGTTAACAGATGACCTCGCCACACCAAGGTACCAGTCATCCTTTTCCCCCACCTGGACCTCCCAGTAGTGTCTGCCAGAAGTGAAGCCCTCATGGGCCAATACTATAACCACCGTGTCGAAGCGATCGGGGTGGTCCGGGAGGTCCTGCCAGGCACCCAGGTGTCTCACCTGATGTCTATCCTGAGAGAGCTGCAACCACGGGTTAGCTGTGTCAGGGTCAAGAGTGACATCCACTGCAGAAGAACGAGACAGAGGATATATTTTGTTGGGGAGTTTAATGATTAAAACACAGGAAAGAAAAATAAGTAAAAAAAGCTTTACCTGTATATTTCAGAACTTTTTTGATCTCTGTAAAAACAAAATACATCATTCTCTTAAGATATGTTTCTTATACATCTTTACTTTTTTAAAAAATAAAATGAATAGTCACACAGTAACAAAGGTATTTTTGAATGTTTATGGAAGTCCTACCACTGTCAGACAGTTTGTCAATCATTTCAGTCAACGTCGCCTCTAGTTTGGACACTAATTTTCTGATCATGCCAACACATGTGTCAGTGGGAACACTGGTCTCAGACCAGTCTTTAACAGATGGTGGAGTGCTGAGGGCCGGGAAGCTCTGCAGAAAGATACAGCCCAAGGGGGGGCAACAACTTAGAAACACGTTATTGACTAAAATAAGATGACCACAGTCATGGTTCTTTTCAAATAACCACAGATCACAAAGATTTTAAGGCTTCTGAACTAAGAAACAAATATGGTTGTAGAATTATTTCCAAATTAAGAGACTCAAATGCTCAGGGTTGCATCAGAATGAGCATTATTTATGAAACGCTGCCAAAACAAACTTGCAAAGCTACTCTTTGATTGGATTGCAGGTATTGGAATGCAATACAGTGCAGAGCAGAAAGAGGGCGCTGTTGTCATTTAATTTAGCTATTAGTGAATACTGTAAAAGGCACCTGGTTTCACTGGAAAACAGGGTTAACAAAATGCTGGAAGTGTCATTTTACCATAAAAATCCTTTGAAATGAAGAAAAAAATAAGGAAAAATTAGAAAAATATCCATGAACTTGTACACCTTGTACCACAAATTAAATTTGGCTCCCCGACACTGAGCACTGAAACAAAGCCTCTCTCACCTTTAAGAAATGAATGTGGTCAGTCCGAGCAACGGTTTCCAACTCTGTGTTCCTCCTCTTTAGCTCAGTGATTTCCTGTTCCAGTTCAGTAATGAGGCCTTGAGCCCACCTCTCCGTCTGCCTCTGCTTCTCCTCGATGACCAAAACCAGCTCGGCCTGAGTTTTCTGGATGGAGCGCACCAGCTCCGAGAAGACCTGCATGCTTTCCTCAATCTCTCTTTGAGCACTGGCCTGAAAGTACAAAAAGCACATGTATGTTGAACAACCATGTGAGTGTAGATTGTGACGTGGCCATGCAAAGGTAAAAACTCACTTTATTGAGCTCCACAGAGTGTTTGATCTCCTCCACCTTTTTCACTCTGTCCTGGATCATCTGCTGAACGTCTATTCCTGTCCTCTTAAGCTGTGCCTGCACAGTATCAGATCACACGGGCATGACTTGTGGTAATTATAAACTTGATGATGTGAAAAGATTATTAGTCTTTAGTTGTAATCAGGCAACAGAGAAGATAACATCATAAAGACACTGTGGACCAGCCTGCTGTACAAGGCGAGGTCTGTGCAGCATAGTTGTTCGTGTTAATGTTTCCTTAAAATCCTGGAAGGTTTAGGTTGAATCATTAGTTTAGTAAAAGTAAACAAAAAAACAAACAAAAATTCAACTCATAGACTCACAAACAACAGAACCTGTTGTATCACCAAACCTTTCTGACATGTTAAGGGCACAATAGGTCAAAGCTTGGTGGTGCCAAGGGGTCATTTAGTGCTTAATAAATGTATTAGACCACTACCCAATATAAGGTTTATGCCACAGCTGCCCTAAATTAACGGTACTTGTAATTATGAAAATATTTTTTATATTTTTGTAATGGTTAATCCACCAATATGTGCAAGTTCTATTTAAATCTAAATCAGAAGTATGCAGCTCCAGGCTTCGAGGCCCGGTGTCCTGCAGCTTTTAGATGTGTCCTTGATCCAACTCAGCTTATTTAAATGACTAAATAACCTCTTTAACAAGCCCTGAAGTTCTCCAGAGGCCTGGTAATGAACTAATCATGTGATTCAGGTGTGTTGACCCAGGGTGATATCTAAAACCTGCAGGACACTCCCTTAAGGCCTGGAGTTGCCTACCCCTGATCTAAATGGGGCGACCATGGCTCAGGGGGTTGGGAAGCCTATCTGTAACCGGAAGGTCGCCGGTTTGATCCCCGGGCTCTCTGTCCTGGTCGTCGTGTCCTTGGGCAAGACACTTTACCCTACCGCCTACTGGTGTTGGCCAGAGGGGCCGATGGCGCAATATGGCAGCCTCGTTTCTGTCAGTCTGTCCCAGGGCAGCTGTGGCTACAACTGTAGCTCCCCCAGTGTGTGAATGTGAGAGTGAATGAATAGTGGTATTGTAAAGCGCTTTGGGTGCCTTGAAAAGCACTATATAAATCCAATCCATTATTATTATTAAATGATATATCTAATACTAAATTTAGCCATAAATCTTAAAATTTTGTCAGGGCCTGAGTGACAAAACGCTTCTCCCACTGAAATGAAACGTCTAAATGAACAGAATCAACTTTCCGGGGTTAAATGTGACACTTAATAAATTTCTGACTTCCCAGTGAAGTCCAGAAATGTCTGTATACAAACATTTTTGACAAATTTCAAAAATATTTGTTATTTCTGTCACAGCTGATCTCATAAATCTGTTAAGCACTCTACATAATATTTTTTTATGTGGTTTATCTATCTACAGTGCATTACTAACGATACGATTAACAATTAAAAATTAAAAATGTGCATCATAACCATCATTTGAATATCTTTCACCATTTTGAATGTGGGAATCTGTGAACTTATGATATTAACTAAAGATGAACAATTAGCTGACTATAAATAGCAGAGAGGGTGTCTACTGGGTGCCATCTGAGCTGATCCTTTTTTCTTGATAAGACAAAAAAAAGAAAGAAAAAGAAAAGAGAACTTCTTGCTGAGAAATGAGGGTGCATAAATAATTCAATGAAAATATCTTGCTCTGCTTCCAGTGCATACAGTAGTATGCATCTCCAAAAAAGGTCATATTTATTCATATTAATAACTAAAGAATCCTTTTGAAGGAGTCCACAGAGTCTGGCAAATGAAACTGGAGTGTTGTGGAGCCACAGATTGAAAGGCTCTGTCCCATCCTAGTCTTCAACCATGTACAAGTAACAGTAACACATTTGAGTCTGCAAACAAACACTTCAAGCAGAAGTGTGTTTAACAAAAGTCTGAAGCTTTTCCATTTAGTCCTCCGTGTGTAAGTATGAGAGTTTATCTGTTTTATCTTTGGCACCAATCACCTGATTTAAACTATGTTAAAAAATACTGCGTAAATCGTACATGACAAGGTGTAAACAAAATATCAGTCTCCTATCTGTATAACTGTGCTTTCTGCAGTTCTCCAGATCTGCTGTCAGCGATCGTGACTTCAAGCAAGCATCCATCATTTTACGTTAACTCTGGCTGCACTCGCAAGAGTCCATATTTATAGAACAGTGATACCAATTTTTTACTCTAAACATTTTGAAGGGCCTAGGTCAAGTGGTTTTTTAGATAATGGATTTGAAACTATCCCTCCAACAAAAAAGAGAACAGCGGTAGTAAGACGTGAATCTTTCCACTTGAGTTCCTTTAGCTAAGTCTGAGCTGGTCCGGGGGGAGGCAGTTGATGAACCGGCAAGAATTGACCCGCAAATATATTGAAATATTTTCTAGCACAGATAAACATTTGGTCCCTGTCCTATATTTGGATGGCAGCGCATCTGTCTCACCTTTTTCTCTGTCCATTCTCTCTCCACAGGGACTGTGTAGTGAGCCCTGTGGTCCGTCTCGGTGCAGAGGACGCACACGCACATCTGATCCTTCTTACAGAACAGCTCCAGGAGCCTCTCGTGCTTCGGACACATCCTGTCCTCCATGTTGGCAACGGGCTCCATCAGCTTGTGCTTAGTGAAGCGGGCTGAGTGACATTTCAGATGCTCCTCGCAGTATGAAGTCAGACACACCAGGCAGGATTTGACCGCCTTCGGCCTACCTTCTCCAAGGCAAACGTCGCACAAGACTTCCTCCCAAGATTGAGATTGGAGCGAAGAGAAAGAAGGAGATGGTAAGGTCTGAGGAAGTTGAGAAGCAGAGATTTGAGGTGAGGGTGGGGGTGATGTTTGGGGAAGTGGAGGCGGTGGCTCTTGTGCTGTGGCTTGGTGTGGAGGAGAGGTCTTTGGAGGTGAAATTGGAGGGATTAAAGGTGGTAAGTCTTCTTGCTGTGGCCTCTTCTCTCCTTGTTTCTCCTTCACTCCCTCTTTCTTTCTCTTCTCCTCTTGTTTCAGCTTCAGCTCCTCCAAAAGCTGCTCTTTCTGGTCTTTCTCCAAAAGCCTCTCCTCATCCTCCCTTTTCCTCCTTTCTATTGTCCACTTCCTTTCTTTCCCTTCTCCCTCTTCCTTGCTTCCCTTCCCTTCCATGCTTTTAATCCTAATCTCCTTGAACTGCTCTGCGATTTCCCTCAAGACAGTGTTGACACTAATATCAGGCCTTTTGTAGAAGGACTTCTTGCACATAGGACACTGATACAAAGGACTGCTTTTCCAGTATCCCAGGATGCAACTCTGGCAGAAGTTGTGTCCGCAGGGGATGGACACGGGGTTGGTGAAGACGTCCAGACAGATGGAGCAGTGCACCTGCTCTTCTGAAAGGTTCCCAGTAGTGGCCATTCCTGCACGGCGGAGAGGCAGGGTCATTTTCAGTGCAAGCAACCAGCCTTTGAATGGGTCATCAAACCTGCTGTGATATCGAGGTCGCTAGGATTAGATGGCATGACCTTAATGATGTCGTCTACAAGCAGATCTACAAAGCAAAGCATGGCGGGACTCATTTGTCATTACATGCTTTGAAATTACAGGTCATAATGTTTTAGGTAAACATTTAGAATAATGACAAATGAGTCCTGATTAGTCCCGACTCATTTTAAGAGCTTACATGCATATGTCAATATTTAAATACAAAACATAGTCAACATCTTTCATAATCATTATTTATATTAAGATATTTTGAAAATATTTAAATATTGTTACTGCCCTCTTGTGGCCACATATTGTAATAGTCACACTGCTTTTAATTTCTGACCCAAGAAATTTATAGATAAATACAACTATAACTATAATAAGTTTATCAGAGGACGGCAATTAATAGAATCATCACATGAATTTTAACTCCTAATCTTTTCTTTTTAAAAGCAAACTCCATATCACAAGCTAAATATTATTATGTCTCTCCTGTACGCTGGTACACTGCGACACAAATGTATCTGTGAAGCTGCAAGTAAGCAGGTTTGACCTATAAGACAGGCAGCTTCAGGCCTAGGTGTTCGTGACAGACCAGATTAAGATTTTTCCAAAAATACTAGCGTACCGCATGACCTGTCTTGCAGTGCTGGCAGCGCTTAATCTTTCTTATTTTGATAAATGAACACCTAGTACCTAAAAATATACAAACTTATAACTCTACGATTGAATTCTTCTCTTGAACTATTTTAATCTATAATTCCCTGCCTGCAATGGAAAGAAAGTCCATACCACAGCTCAGCACTCATTAGAATAAAAATGTTATTAGAAAAAAATCCAACAACAATACTCCCCTAAGAGTTATGTCTGTGTACAGAGAAGCAGATGATACCCTGTGGAAATTAAAAACACAGGAGGTGAAGGGAGAGACAAAAAGCAGAGATCTGGGAAACTCACCAGAGAGCAGCTGCCTGGAGACTCCACAGTGCACTGACATATGAGACAGGCTGTAACCGCTGCCCCTTACAGCCGCCCCCCACACAAACACACACTCAACTCAGACCCAAAATATACCCCGCTCCCTCAGTCTCCTTTTAACCTAGATACAAATATTCTCTGGCCATGACCCTCAAAGCTCCAGGAGGAATAGCTTTAAGTCTTCAGAGAATACAGCACATTAGCTAGGGTCAAATTCAGGAGTTTGACAAAGAAATTGGCAGAAGTAACACTAAAATCTGAGAACGCTTACATGTTGAGGATTAAATTTTTTGTGTTAATAATTGTAGGATTTTCAAATTGGCAAAATTTAAAACACAAAAAAATATTAGACTGTTAGCTTAGCACAAAGATTAGAAACACAGACCATATAAAAACATGGATGTAATATCCAGGTTTTAAAAAAGAATAAGTCAACGTGGAAGTGTCTTAAACCTGCATTCTACCTGAAGGCCACCAGAGAGCGATAGCTGTGGTTGTAAAAAATAAACAAAAACTTTGGGCCTGATAGAAGGCCATGCTTTCTGCAAACAGTTTGTGGACTCAGTCACTGATTTCTGGTCATACTGAATCAAAAATGAAGTCGATTTATAAAGCTTTATCGTTTTTGTAACATTGTATATTTCAAAATAGAGCCTTAACCATGACCACTGTTCACCAGCTAATGACGTATGACTGGTAAGTAGTTTGCCAACTAGCATGTAGTTTCACAGTCAAACCCGTCCCTCTTCATATCATCCATTCTTTTAAAGATGGTGACGGTAAAAATGCCAAAGTTGAGGCTTCAGAAAGACATGTCAGAAACCAGTGGATGACACGACGGTAGCTACTACAGTCTATCTCCTTCATGCTGTCTATGACTAAAAACACTTTCTTCTCTCTCTTTGCTGGCATTGCTAAAGTTCAACATTACAAGTGTAGTAAAACAGACAGCTGACACTAAAATAGTTCTATATTTTGTGGAGATTATATATGATATAGATCACTGATTTTTTCTTTAGCTATGCTAAGCTAAAGGGATCCAGAGGATGCCTTAGTCAGAGGCTTTTTTTTATCTTCTCTTATACCAGAGGCCTATTTAACCAACCCCAAAGACAGAGCTCACATTTCAAGGTTGCTTTTGTCGATTTATAACAAAAGTAAGTTCAGTGTAATTCAGTCTCCTGACAGTTTTTTTTAAAATGTTTTGTCTACATAAACCCTTGAAGAAAAAGTAAACAATGTGATAACCACTGCAAAAAAAGTGCAGGTGTTTTAATTATGTTATGACTCCATCAGGAGAGTTCATGTTTTTTGTGTAATCTTATTTACTGTCGTGACTTAATGGACAGTTAATATGAGTGAGATAAAATAAAACAAGATATAATTTTTTTAGTTTCTAGATCAAATTGCTTGAAATCTCCAATGACATAGGTTTAAAAACAAAACAGACTGTTAGGTTACCAAACATGGGCGTGTCTGAGGCTCTGAAAAGTAGGAGACTGCCACTGATAAAATGACAGGCATGGTTAAGTGAAAACTTGAGTTATCTCAAATTTATTGATTCAAACTGCTGAGTAATTAAAAAAAAAAAAACTTGAGATACCCAACTGGAAATTTTGAGATAATCACCTCAAATTTTGACCTATAGGCTTTTTTTTCTTTGTCAGTTGTTGGATACCCTGAAAGTCCAAATTAGAGGGGTAATAAGTTCAGCAGGAAATTCAGCTTAAGTCACTTAAGCTACAGTAAATATTTTTTTGACATGACTGTTTTTGTGATATATATATATATATATATATATATATATATATATATAATATATATAATATATATGTTTAACCCCAAATACATTAAAACTTTTGAACCATTTTTTTTAAGTCATTAAAGATGTTTACTATACAATTGGTCCAACCTTTTAATGATTTTCCTTACCAAGTTTAAAACCATTAAAGGCCCTACATTTCCATGACATCTATGCCCACAATGTCATCTATGTAACATTTAGTATTTTTGATCCCAGTCTCTGAATTATATATATATATATAAAATTCAGTTGAGTTGGTTTCTTCGTTAACAGGAAGTCATGCATTTTGTGCCTTAATCAGCTTTATTGAACAAGTTCAGTAGACGTTACAAAAGTATGTGATTCATGTAGAAACAGAGAACTTTTCCATGGCCTTTAAACGGGTGATCCTATCATTTTTTTTAAAGTAGTGGAGGTCAAAGTCATTAAATATATACAACATTAATACAGATTCTGTTATATGAAAAAAGCAGATAACTGTGTTTTATATTACTTTTGATGTGCAAAATAGTTACAGTAACTAAAGCTGTAAAATGATTGCACTGGTCTCCCCATGCTATCCCCACTTAATGTGTCTATATTAGTTTTTACAATAATGTCCATAGGATACAGTCTTAATTACAATAGGTAGGTACAAGTACAAGAAACCTTGATTCGATTCCCCAGGCAAAGTCTAAATCACTAGAAACGAAGTTTGCATCTCTTAACTTCATTACTTGGCTCTGAGCCTTAGAGTTGCAGTTACACAAAGACTTACAGAGTAGGGAAAGTGCCAGCTTTACTCAAACTCATCTATCATCAAGTAAGAAGCAAAAAAAGAATGATTTATTGTCCTTCACATGTTTTCACATCACTACATATTTCTTCTTTACTGTAATCCAAGTTTGAGTTAACAGATGATAGTGCAAAGAAAAAACTGCCTACATTTAAATAAATTGTAAATGTACCATTATAATACATGTATCAGTCAATAAAGAATTTACCTCAGAAAATAGCCAGTATTGTGCTGAGAAAGTGATGGTGGTGTGTATAAAAAAGATGTTTTATATATAAACAGAATGCATAACCTAATGCCGACTGACTATACCCTCAGCTGTGTTTAACATGGGTTATGATGAGTGGGGCATTATTCTTCCCCTCCTGGGCGAGACAGGGGCTGAAGATCGGGTACAGGTTCTCACTGAAGCTATCGATAAAACTGTAGATATGCAGACGAGCCTTCACATCATAGAAAGAAATCTGGCCTCCTTCGTAATCCAGAAAGATTCCTACTTTACTGGGTTGGGAAGGCAGCACTAGAGGCAAGCGGGGCGACGCCAGCACTTTCACCTCCCCGTTCTTCAGCCACAGGCACCAGTACCCACCCTCGGGACTCAGCTTGATCTCACCCTTGCGTCGGGCAGAAGAGCGGGCCACGCCGAGCGTCCAGGCCGTCTTTCGCGATACGTCCACCTCCCAGTAGTGTCGCCCCGTGCTGATCCCCTCCCGGCCCAAGACAAAGAGGGCCGGGCTGAAGCGCTTTGGACCCTCACAGTGAGTGGATTTGCGCTCTTCATACCTCACCTGCTGACCATCATCAGTCACAGTCAGGTTCCTCTGGGCTGTGGCAGGGTCCAGAATCACCTCAGCTGAAAAGGAAGGAGCAGAATATGAGACAGGGAGAAAAATCTGCATTATTTATTGCCACTTCTGCTAAAAAAAAAATAATAATAATGGGCTCCTTATTCCTGAACATGCCACAAGGGTGTCTGTAAAATGGCAGCATGCTACGGGAGCAATCCCATCTCTGCTGTGAAGAATTACTTCCATTTTGTGGGCATTTAGAAGAAATGAGCATCATCATTTACTCAAGAGAGGCCTCCTGCTTTCCTTTAACACCCTTATGTACAAGTGGCACGAATGTGCTCCCTAGAAGAATTATAGCTACAAACCATGGATGTCACCCAGCTAACAGAGTAGAAGTGTTACTCACATGCGTAGTTCTGCACCTTCCGGAGCTCTGAGAGAGAGAGAGAGAGAGTGTGTGTGTCAAAGTCACAGCAGATGGCACGTGTGGGTGGTAAACACACAGATCTGAACCAGAGCTCTAAATGCTCGATGCATGTGCCGCTGTCAGTCAGCTGCCTCTTCCAGCGATCCCAAGTGGATGATCTGCGGCATCAACACTATCTCCATCTGTCCAACCGTCTTGCATGTGTGACCGTGTGAGTGTGGCGCGATGATGAGTCACTTTTCCATTCCAAAGTGTGCGTACAGTGACCTACATATCACCGATTTGGATTTTGCACAGGATGTGTGGTTTGTATTAGACAAGGGAGGATGGATTGTACTAGAACTTTGCATTCATTATCCCATGCAGGGATCCCAGTAAAGCCTGCTGCGAGTTTGATTTTCAGTTTAAAGGGGTACTTGAAGCTGCGGAACTGTATGCAGCGTACGCAGAATGGAAAATACTCATCGTGACTATGAACATTTTTCAAAACACTCTTCCAAATGATTGCACACATGTTGATTTGCATTTAATACATAAAACATGAGCCATTTCAGATCGCTCATTTTTAAAAGTGCTTTCAGAAAAAGGATTAAGAAAAGATTTTGCTGAATATGTGCTAATATTATGTAAGGTATTTATTTAAATGTATCTAGCCCTGCACGATATGCACTAGGGTTTAAATGATGCTCTGTTGGAACTAAAGGGCTAAGATCCATGCGTTCATATTGTTTGCACCTACACTCTGAAATCATGACTTATCAGTTTAGGCAACATTTTTTCCAGTTTTCTGTTGTCTAATTTTGATGAGCCTGTGTCAGTCATAGCCACATGGACCTGGTATGGTCTTCTGCTTCAAGCAGTGGCGGTCCTAGCCTGTTTGGCTGACGAGTTATTGTAAGTTATTAAATGCTGCTCCAGCCACCAGAAACTCCCCCGCCGCCCCACCCTCTCCTCCCTGTGCCGCAAGCAGCAGGCGCACCTCGCGAACGAGGGTGCCCTTACTCCCAGCAAATGGCCGATAGAAAATCGATCGGTGCCTATGGCATTCCCAATATGCGCTGGCATGACGTCGGGGCAGCATGAGTATGAGCATTTTTTATTTTTTTTGCCCATGCCCGTGATGCCGTCCCCCACCACTATGCCTCCCCGGGCAACCGCCCGTGTCACCCGTATCAAAAACCGCTACTGGCTTCAAGGTTTGACTTGTTGCTACTCAGACATGCTCTTCTGCAAACCTTGTTTGTAATGAGTGTTTTTTTTGTTGCTGTTGTCTTCCTATAAGCTAAAGGCAGTCCGATCATTCTCCTCTGACATCAACAGGCACAAGCCATTTCTCCCAGATAATTGCTGCTCACTGGATAATTTCTCCTTTTCAGACTTTTCTCTGTAAACTGTAGAGATGACTGTAGATCAGCTGTACTAATATTGAGCGCATCTGGCAGCATTAACCAAGTTGCAAGTCGCTTCCCCATTTTGATCTTCATGGTTTGAAGCTCAGCTGACATGTGATTGGCTAATTGGGTATTTTCAATTAATGAGTATTTGAACCGGTGCACCTAACAATGATAATATTTCCACAGACCCGCCCGCATCACATTTCTGTGGAACCCAAGGAATGGAAAGAGACGGCGAGGAACACCCAAAATAACGTGGAGGAGTACTTTCCTTGAAGAATTACGTTCGGTTGAACTGTCATGGGATGAAACCGTAACCGCCGCGATGGACCGAGTTCGATGGCGTTCTCTTGTCGCCCGATGCACCGATCGTCACGGGAGGATCTAAGTCTAAGTAAGTCTAAGTAAGCACCTAATAAAGTGGTAAGTCTATATGTAAACCATGCTCTGCTTCTAGCATTGTAGGCATGGTAATGCTGCAGCACTAGTTGTTTTGTACAGTTTCTCAAACACAATGGTTATAATAGCTGCATAAGTGCATTAGGTCACAAGTTTGGCTAGCTGCCTTACCTTTCCCATATATTCTTTTAAGCTCATCCTGGAACTTATCAATGAGGCTGCTGACCGAAGACCGGATGGTTCCCAGATAAAGGTCAGTATTGATGCTGACCGCTGACCAATCAGTGGGCTCGGGTAGGGGTGACAGTGATGTCAGGTTCTACGTGAAATAGAGAGGTCATGCAAGGTAAGATGAACGGTGCGTCAAAGGAAATGAAGTCTGTAAAGTTTACAATGAAAAGAACACACTAAATATGACGCCAACAGTGTGCTCAGTGCTGTCCTATTTAATTTTGTTAATGGGAAACACAGAACAGAGACACATTATTGCTCTGACGGGAAAAGAAGAGAGCACTCAGTAGAGGGCATTGTCCAAATGTGGTAAGTAAATTCCCTGTCTATCAAAAAGAGATGCACTGGTCTGCTTACTCTCAGCTTTGATGTGTCTGGGTATTCGAGGCTTCATGCCTTCACTTCTATTGATGCTATGTAGAAAACCTCTAAAGTAGCAACTTCAAAGACATCTATTCATTCACATGGGGAAATGGCCATAACAGGCTCGGTCTGCTCATGGAGGCTTTTGATGTTGTGTCTCAAAATCTCTGAGCAAACACAGCTGGTGCAGCCACAGAGGTAAATAATTGGCTTTGCAATTAAAAGTAAAGTGTGTATACAGTTTTCAGAACAGGAAAACAGAGATATGTTCAGTATAATACGATCCATGTGATATTGTTCAGGCTTTTCTGGTGAAATCATAAGGGTAGAAAGTCTTGTGTTTTAGATGCCTGTGAGATTTCCATTATTGTGAATAGCACAGCTTATTCTGTTAAGTCTTTAGCCTTCTAATAAAATGCTCTGCCCCAAATGCACAGTAATTGTGTTTTCAGTATGTAGGCCAAGCTGGAAAAGCAAGAACTTTAAAGGCTAGCTATAATTAGTACAGAAAAAAAAAG